CTGGAATTGCTGGGACGAAATAATCTTCGTTCGTCCAAACTGACCACTGTGGCCATGCTGCCGATAGTAGTTGAATATCTCACCACTTTGTGTAACTCTAGCACGGCGTTGTCCTGCCATCCAACGGGCTGGACGTGTCTTCGACAGTCTCAACTTCACAGTCTGCGTGTTCTTCACTTTGATGCGAGGTGCTATCTGTCCAGTACTCCAGTCGATATTTGGGTTCTGCTCCCGCAGCCACATCATGCATCAAAAGACGTCCTTTCGTTCAGGAACAGGCATGACTTGGAATATTCCCGTTGTCAAGGGAAACCCTGGTAACTGCAGAGACATCTCTACAGTCCGACGTGGACGATGCACAACTTGATCATAACCAAGATCATTTGCTATACTCCCTCCCTGTACATGGCATAACTGTGCTAGACATCTTATGATGCGGTTCAAACCAACCCCAGAGTCTTCATCTGCAGCCAGCACTCAAGCTCATGTGTGTTCTGTTCAAATGTGGCAGGTCGCCACCGATTCAGTACCCACTGACGTTAACGAGCGTCAAGGAATGCGCGCAGGACGCGGAAGTACATGACGGACCACGATCCGACATATCTTTTTGTCGTTTTTTGAAGACAGGCTGAACGACATGTCAATTCGCTTTGGCCAGATGCAGTTGCTCAATAATTACTGAAATTACCATATGTATAGTACGAATCAGACTCTCTAATATCTAGATGATGCAAACCGATGTCGTTACTAAAGGTCTCTGGAGGATAAGACTCTGACTACCGGTATGCAGACACTTTTCGTGATGTCGTTTATATCGATCGTAAGCACCATGTAGGCATGATCGACGGTTCTGTAAGTGTGGACACGAGCCAATGTTTTCGCAGGACTTTCGGCGGAAATCATTTTGGTACCATTTAATGCGGTGGTGTACACCGGTGCTGCATAATGATTAAGATCGCAGATGCTGACATGTGTATCTACGACCAAATAACTTCTTTCAGCCTGGCACAAGTCCGCGACATTACTAGCAAAATTGATATTATCGCACAAGCTCCGCTTCGTCGATCATATCCAAGGTTTGAGTCGAACCTGTGACGATCTTGGGCCTGCCAAACGGAGGAAGCAGTCGTTGGCGGCCTTGACGAAGAGAGTCGAGGTCGGAGGCGATGGCGAGTTGGAGTCGGAGTCGAAGGGGCAGCG